ACCAATAACAATTTCGTCAAAAAAAAAAAAAAAAAAACCATTAGAAGAATAAATATTATTGCCATTTGAATCACCTGGAATAAATCCGACCACTTTGAGCTCTTCACAAAAGATTGCTGGAAAGGTCCACTATTAACAGGAAAAGCGAGATCAATTAAACCAAGCGTAAGATCTCTTGAAAGTTTCAATTAATAATAGAACAATATATCAAGGTAACAAAAAATGAGTGAAATAGAAATTAAATCCGTACGGATTTTAAACAAGTAATGAAATCAATTATATTTTGAAACATTGCTAGCAAATTAATTTATATTTATATAAGAAGCGGTAAATTATATTGCAATAAACAAAGCTAGTTCCTCTACTGTAGTTTCGGAATTACAAACAACTCTAATATTATACTGCCTTAATTTGAATTCCTCCAATTTATGCAGCAAGAAAGTTAAAAATTCCAAAAATGGTTTTATAACCTACGACATTAGGATAAGATACTCACCGACAATGAAGGACTACATCAGTAATTTGATTTAGTGTAAGAGGAAAAACAGTATCTCCAACACCACCATTTTGGAAATCATCATCGTCAACTGTTTTCAAGGCATTTGTCACCAATGTTATAAATATTGATAAAGCTGGTATTAAAGCCTGTTCATCAGAATGCGATATATTTTCACCCTGTTAGAAAAGTTAATCTTTTGAGATTGCTACAGTTCTTGGTATTCACATATACAGTATTTGGTTCTACCGGTTGGATAAAAAACAAAATAGCAACATAAGTATCATATTTTATTTCAGAATTCAGAAAACATATTTTTTTTATTTTATTCAAAAAAAAAAATTTCAGAATTCAGAAAAAAAGTATTCTCAATATATATAATAAAATCAGTATTTAAATAAATATGTAATGTTATCACTAACGTCTATGATATAAATACTAAGTGCTACTAAAAAAAATTTCAGAAAACGACAAAGTACTACTGACCCGTTCAAGTATTGTTATCAGTGGTTGCGTCCCTCCAAACATAGTACTCCTATTAAGGGACATTATTAGCCTCCATAAACTTGGAATCAGCTGCCGAAATGAAGAAAATAAATTCGTCAAAGAAATATAATTTGCAGATGAATGAATCCGTATGAAATAAGTTAATGTGCAAAGCGAAGTAATCCCTTCACGATCTCCCAGTAATGCATTTGTGAATGATTCATTTGACAGAAGAATTCTCAGACTAGAGATTAGAGTTTTCAAGTAAAATGATACTGTCTGAAAATATTGCAATTCTCATCTGATGAATTAAACTTACTGAGACAAACGAGTCCTCAAGTTAAACCTTGCAAATTAATTTTTGGAGCAAACGCCCTTTAATAACCTGAAGTTCCATTATTCTCCAATTAAAAAAAAAAAAGTTAAACAAAAACGTTCAAGTTAAACAAAAACGCTTTTGCATCTTTCATATCGCAAAAAGAATTGCAATTTCCAGTAAATTAAAACACTTCCCAGAATATCCGGTTCAACATCAGATGTCGCAGCCATGATAGCATCATTTGACTCGTCTTCCACATCTGAATCGTCGTTGTTGGATCGCTCTGTCAACATTGCTTCCGGTGGCGGTGTGATATTTTGTGTAAGTGCTGCAAACACGGAGACCAACTTGGCCTTTTCCGAATCATTTAAAGTCTCTGTAATAAAGTTGTGAGACCAAAATAAAGTGCATTATTACCTAAAAGCTTTTGGAACATGAAATTTTAAAAATCAAACGAGATTTATATGTTTCGTACGAGGATATTTGGTAGTCAATTATCTATGGAATCTGATCAATTTTATCGACTAAAGATGGCAACAATCATTAAATTCCACGAATTAACATAGTATGCTGCAGAGCTGAGGTTTATGAAAAATGTCAGAATCTAAGCATAACTGAATAAGAGAAAAGAACTAAACCTAATGAAAATGCCGAAGTAATAACGACAACAGCATATGAAGTTAAAAGTGTAGAAGTTGCATCTTGTGACGACAACCGATAACCATCAGTTGATAAAGCATCCATAATATCTGCGAATTTCAAAGTTCCTGCTTTACAAAGTCGAGCTAGAAAGGGTGCTAAACAACAAACAGTAACAGTTTCATATCTTGGCTTGCAGATCGTACCAAATAATTCAAATATAGCATCCGTTCTGCAATAAGAAACAATAAAACCATAAAAACCCTCGTAACAAAAAATTAAAAGTCAACAGCCAACGGAAAGATCCGATATAAAATAATCATGTAAAAAGCCATTTTTGCTTCATTGTAAACATACGACCTTGCAATTCAATTAAGATTCTGAGAGACAATCTATAGAAATAATACTTTCTTTTCCACTACTTTACTAATTGTAAATGAAAAATTCCGTATTTAAATGCTATATTCAAGGAGCTTACTTCTTGGAAAGGCGATTTATAGGTAAAACTAATATTTGTAAAAGTGATTCAGAGCGCTGTGGAAGTTTTTCCTCAATGTATAAAGCTGAAAAAAACATTTTAGAAAAAAGGAAAGGTACTTTGACAGTCAATGTCAGCACTGTCGGGATGCTTAAAAATTTTCAAATTCTTATAAATGCTTGGTACATAATCGTCTTACCACAATACAATATAATGCATTGTATTGGGTTGAACAGCAAAAAGTAAAAGCAGAAAAAAACTAACCAAAAACATTTTCCACTCTAAATCTGATTAATTTTCTAGTTTAGCAGTTACATCAATCTATCCTAAAAATCATAAATTAGCATGATAAAGAGCTTACGAGAAGGAAGCTGATGACAACTGGAGAACAAAGTCATCATGGATGAGTAGAAACCATAATTCAACAAAGTTAAGCAATCCTCTTCCTTTATATAAATTTCGAGAAATCGCAATGCGGACGTATATGACTTAGTTCGATCGGTGTGCTCAAAAAGCACAACTACACACCGTAAAAGTTGCTGTCGTCTCCTTCGATCCAATAAGTCGTTCGCTTTCACTGCTTGTGCCAGTGCAACTGCTTCACTGCACAATGTTAACTAGAAGTTGTGGTTTATAAAAAGTGAACTTAAACTTTCCCTAGGATTTTTACAAACAAAACCATAATTAGAATGGTACCTGGGAACTTTGACAAAACCATGGAACAGATTTCACTTTAAAACGCATGAACAGGTCTCCTAAGCGTCGTAAGTAAAAAATGATAACAACTAGCTGAGTTAAACCCGAATATTACCAGAATTAGAGAACTTACAGTTCTTTCACAGTCAACAGCAGATCGGAAAAAGAATCCCAAACGAGAAATTTGTGTTTCCAATAATATAACGCTCTGTGTTGGACCTGCTTCATCAAAAAGACTTCGCAAAAAGATATGAAATTCTTTCCTAACACGATATCCCCGATATGCAGACTGTATTTTGATCGCTGCTACTTTTCGTCTGAAAAAAAAGATCAAAATAGATCAAATTCAAATAGATGAATGCGATCGTAACGAAGTCCTCAAACATTAATCAGGACCTTATCCACACCTTGTGAATGAACAGCAACATGATAACTGTAAAATTTCAATTTTCCCTGTCCTTAAAAAGTAAGGATTAATTACTAAACTATACAGAAAATCACATAAAATATAAGCCAAATTCTCCACTTCCTCAAGTCTGTTTATAGGATACCTTTCATTTCCACAAACCTGTTTACTCGACACGTTGCAAATACCGAATCGACGACTCCGTAATATCATTTAGAAGGCCCAAATGCATAGGAAAGTTTCAGTTTAAGGACAGAAAGCTTTATCTATACGATTTTCCAGAATAAGAAGTGTAAATCTTTAGTAAGCATTCTTACAGCACTATTGCCTATATGATATGAAGCTAAGCTAATTGACAGCGGGAAACCTAAATCGCAGCATATCTAGTATTTAGATGTGTTACCTGGATCGTTCTTGCCTTTCGATACGTTCTTCATTAATTTTTCTCATAAAATCTTCTTTTTTAGCCTGAAAAAATGGATCAACTGAATAGATGAACGTTACTTCACAAAACAAATACCTGAAATTAAGATTCACACAAGTAAATTTGTATATTTCTTAATCTAGACAATATGTAATAAAACCAACCAAATCAGAAAAGATAGCTTCTTGCAATTTGTTCCGCCTAACAGAACCATTAAAGTCGTAAAGGTTTAAATTACCAGCCATAGTATATTCTGCAATAAGTTAATGACGAATTTCCAAACCGTGATAGTACAGACCAACGCAACTCCGCTCGTGTGGTAATCTTGATAACTTGGAGATCTCTCTCTGGAGAATCAAAACATACCAATCCTCATTTAACACTTAGGATCTTCAAGTTTACGGTACCAGTTATCAGGTCAGCTTATGGCTTTTATCCAAACCATTAAAGTATTTAACATCCTCGGATTACTCATAGCAGTTTATGGAGAATTTCATGCACACATTGCAAAACTTTAAAAATTAAGAATTCGGATATATGTTGAGCAATTACAATCAGTGAAAAGAGATTCTCCTCCGTGTATGCATTCCTGTCATTATAATCCAATGAACGAAAATTTAACAGATCCCCTAATCCAAACATCTTCACTATCAAATAGCGCATCAGCTGTACGACGATAAAGTGTGTAACAAAATTCAAGATTCTTTCAAGGTATTACATATTTGCGCATTCCTTAAAGCTACAGAATAACAAATACAGGAAAGAAAATACTGATTAAAGAATATCAAGCATTCGACAGTGAACACATCTTTATTTTCCATCCAAAAATTCGAATATGAACAATGGTTTAATCATAGCATTATAAAACACAAGGATAGAAAATGAAGGATAAGGATGGAAATAATACTTGAGTGATATGACAACACTGATGATCCATAGAAAGACTTTTTAGCTTTCTTTCTTTTTCTCACACTGGAATCAACAACCTTAATGATATCACTGGCACACGAAATCCGAGAAAATAAAGTAGTGGGAAATTCCTACTTTATTGAAAATATTTGAATAAATAAATCAAGTTCCATCAAAAAAAAAATAACACAGATTTCTATCAAGCCACTTAGTGGTCCAATTTCTTCCCAAAAAAGAATTTCCTCCCCTCATGACTACTCAAATTAAACAGTTAGTCGTCAGATTCTTCAGATGCTTGTTGCAACCAGTCGATGATTGGACGAACTAAAGTTTTAATGGGAGCACTCTTATGTACAGTATCATACCACTCCAGAATTGCATCTTCTTCAAAAATATCTTCTTCATAGAAAAAGTGTATCACTTTCGCAGACAATGCTTTGAAATTAGGATGAGATGTTAGATGTTCCTGCAAAAATATAAACTATAAATTCACACTATAAATAACAAGGAAATTTGTAAACTGAGGACGTTAAATTCGTTTACACACGTACATTCACTTAAATTTGCGCAAAAGATATGAACTTGTGCCGACAGCGCAGAGAGAGAAACAAAAGTTACCTCAACTGCAACAAGAGCCTGAATTTGGTTTTTTATTGGTTTGTAATAATTGGTGAACAATAAATGCCAATTTTTCGTAAGCTGCAAACAAAAGACTTTTTCGGTCCATAAATGTGAGAAAATCTTTCGCTTATGCAAAGACTAATTATTTCATCAAAGCTATTTATTTCTTTTGAAGGACTAATCTGCAAACTTACCTTTTGCAGCTCTGAAAAAGTATCTGACAATGACAGGAAAGATAAGAAAACGTTGCGCGCTACGTCTTCCATTGTTATGTTGTAGGCTAGTTTTGAACTGTTGATTTCTAAAATTAAATTTTTCATCAGCTGGTCATCACATTCTTCTTGTTCCGCTATTCTGTCCATACTTTCTTTAACCTGCAAATTCACATCTAATTAAACTTTCCATATAAGACATGGAAACGAGGATGAGCTCACAGTAAACCAATAAAAAAACGAATCGTGAAAGATATACTTCTTCGTAGAATCGATCAACACTGTCTATTTCTTTCTCAACGATAGCTTGTTCATTCTCTTTTAAATCATCCATTTCTGGAACAGTGGATTGAAAGGTCAAATTACCGTGACCAAAATCGAATTGAAAATTGAAGGCCATAGTGAAAGAGTGAGAAAAGAATAAGGTTTCGAATACCTCTGGATGTTACTGATGTGTTATGTCGCCGGACATTTGGACAAGTAGCGTGCCAAAAACTACTTCCATTTTCCATTCTCCATTCAAATCCATCTTAAACATTTTGCAAATTTGTTATACTCATCCCTTCTTCTGAAACTGCTAAAATAAACAAAAGACAAAACAAACATTCCGATGGAATACATTCAAACTGTTCATCGTTGTCATTATAACATTCTGCACTAATAATGCTTCCTGATGGTAACTTTCTGTCATCTGGTATTTTCACCTGAAAACGAGCCTAATGAACAACAATGATGCAATATGGTGTGATACTGTCAACAAATTTTGCATCAACTTATGTTGGGGGAATTACTGCAAATTATGCCGTAACGCTACATTGACCTGATGAATGCTTTATCGATTCAAACAAAATAAATCAACGGCTTTTGAAAAAGTAAATGGATAAAAACCTTGGAAGATAAGATACATCTCGGGGAAAGTATAACATTGCTGCCAATTATAACATCGTCTGCAATATAGCATTCCGATAAGCAGGTGCTTGTACCCATTATAACATCTTTACCAATTATGCAGTCCACAATTTCACAACCATTGCCTCAAACAAATCTCATATAGAGGGTCAGAATATTTCTGCACGGCAACAGTTGTAATGAAAGTGTATTGTAATGTGTTATAATGAAATCATAAAACAACATTATAATAAAATCATTTGATGAAATCACAAGACAACGCAAGTCACGCATATCAGCAATTTTTTGTATTACTCTATATTACTGGAATCATCACGTACTATATTAAAGAGTTAAAGACCCACCGATAGATGTTCCAGAACCAACTGAAACATTTTTTAACACTACATTCGAACCGATCGAACAGTTTTTCCCCAATAAAACATTTGCTCCATCAAAAATTAATGGCAAATTCCTTGAAAACAGTAAGGTTAGAACGATCCATGGTCCCAGTAAGTCTAATCAATCAATTAAAAATGAGAAATTCTGAAATCAATATAATAAAAACGTAGGTTCTGCTCAGATATTTTTGAAAAGAACTGATACACCTTTTGGTCTGGTAATTATGCTGCAAACTGTCTGACGGTGTATAAATATTATTTCGCCGACATATATAAGTTGAAAATGAAATATTATCAGGCACAAGAGGGAAGAAAAAACGTTGCAAAATGAGCTTATTCATAAGTAAGAGATCCGCATAATCACTGAAAATAAATGGGGTATTTGGAAAATGAGAGAAAAAGTCGACAGCTTTTCCACAGCTTCTACAGATAAAAACTAACAGTAAGTGTAACCAATAATATCTAAAATGTCAAATATTCCTCAATGGGAATTCAAATTTTACGGCTAACTTTATGCTAGAAGCACTAAAAAGCTCAAGGATTTCATGATAGCTCTTAATTCCAATATTAACTTTATCAAAATTGTTCCAACTTTGTTGGTTTAGTGATATATGGTGTACACATGCGTGCATGCATATAAAACATAGTACTGAAGTTTTGTCTAACATAATTTCAAAAAAACAAGAAAAGACAACAAACGTACTGAGCACAAAATGCCGGAATTTGTTTTGGGAGAACAGTAATACAAATTCTTTGACCGAGAATCTCTTCGTTAATCAAAATTTCTCTAATTATATCTTCTTTATATTGAAAATCGAAGTTGTCACTGAATTGTGACAACACATTAAGTGAACAAAATGCCATACCAGTGTCTCGAAGATTATTGCAAACAACGGAATCAGCTGCAAACACATCCTGGAAAAATCCAAGTAAATGAAAATATAAAAGTTCCAGAACATCAGAATATAAGCAGAAATCTAATTTACACTCATAGTAAAAGAATAATCAAAAAATTAATAATCATCAAGTTTACTAATCACCAAAAAATCAGTACTTGTTGACCAGATATCGTAGTTGTTCGGCTAGTAATGAGAATAGTGGACAAATTTCTGGAGATGACATACCTTGTCTACATCAAGTATTGAAGTATCATCTTTTTGATGGTAGAATATAAGTCTTCCGCTTTTCTTTTCATAAGCAATAACCGGGCATTCATTTTTCCATTCACCGTAAATGATTAACATGACATTATTCTTATCCTTTCTTAACTCCCTGAATCAAAATATGCCATTACTTAAAAGTTGAAATATAATATTCAGATGACTCGCAGAAATTACATTTGAAAACATAAATTTTTGAGTAGCTAATCCGAACCGGACATTGTTTCAAACATTACGAATTATGTACTTGAAACAACTGAGTTGAGTATTAAGATCCGTTGCGGCAACAGTCATTGGAGTTGTGAGTAAAAAAAAATCCGACTTTATAACAGATCGACTATGAACTTCACGAAGAGCATCACCAATACTCATACAGTTTTGACACGATACAACAATAAGGGAATCGAACATCACTCTCCAGTAACTAAAACAAAAAATAGAGAAGATGAACTGTATGAGGACGAAATTAAGAAATGGAAAACAGCGAGACGCTAACTCTTCTAAGTAAAAAAAGAATAAGGGACACCATAGTTCAAAATATTGGAGGTACTCAAACATAAGTCACAACTGCTATTTAACCTCAAGTAACCACGTGATGCTTTCACAAGGTTGTCCTACAAGGAGCCAATTTTTCCAAATAAGTGGAAGAGTTAAAGAAAGCCACAGTGCAAAATAGTGTAGACGTTCGAACATAATTCAGTGGGGTCATTATGAGGTCTAACAATATAAACTGCAAGCTTATGAAATGAACCTATTGAATAAATAAAGTTGTATAGTACACTTTGGTATCTATCTTGAACTTGATAAAAAGGATTAGAGTCGAAACATGCTGACTAGAAATGTTTTACTCTATAATATGCTGAACAGCTTTTTCAGAGTGCGTTGACAGAGCAATCACCACATTTCGAAGTTCAGTTCGACTGATCCATTCCAGCACGTAATGTAAAATTTCGATATTCGCTACTTTTAAACAACTCTGAAAATATACTTGTAGAAGACGATAAGACATGATGAAATTTCATCTATTTTCACATTTCTTTTTATAATTCTTATTTTATTAACCCTCACTATAAATCACTTTCATAATTATATTTTATTGAAATGAAAAAATCGCTGAAATATTCATAAGAGTAAATCTTGGATGAACAGCAACAGTTTCAATTCAAATCAAGTTTCGATTCATTTCTAAATACAGCAAATTTTTTACAGATATCACGAACAATGCTAAGAACATATGAATATGTGAAAAAAATTGTTGCATCTAATGATTACAGAATTGAAAATAAACTGAATGGAGCTATTCTTAGATCTTTCATTATTCCTTTACGTTATTCTTTACTCCCATATACTAAAAACATAGAAGCCTTTCAAATCACAGTAACATTGCGACCTTTTACTTTTGATAACAAAGTAATTTATCAATACCAACTATAAAACCATGTTTTAAGGTGCGAAAGTTTCAAGATGAAAACCTCCCCAACTTGCACATTAACTAACCATCCTGAGACTTATCCTGAAAACACTTATCCTGAAAACAGGATAAGAAAAAAAGTGAAAGTAATGAATTAGATGTGCGACTAATGCAAATAACTTACAATGGAGGAAGCAGAAGTGACGGGAAGAAAACGGATATCAAATGTGTCTGCGATAATTAAAACTTTGATAGGCTCTTCTTTCACCTCACTCGTCCCTTCCTTATTTTCTTTCCGCCCCATTCCCTCGCTCTGTTTTCCTGAAAGCACCTTCCGGAAGAGGTCAACAATTCAAAACCAGCCCTCTATCCATGTTAATGCTGTGGCACTACGGCATCCTCCACTGTTGCAGCACCATTGCCAATGCTATATCCTCTCCCTGTTAGTGCTAGAGAATGTCTTGATCGATATGTACCTCGGGAAGTTCCCACGTACGCTTCCTGTGTCAACCCTGTCGAGGGATGCCTCGATGCACTCGGAGTGACAAACCAACTAGCTGTGAAAATTGAAATAACAGTGATGCCATCCAGTAATGCATTCTTCCTGCTTCGCTGTTGGAAGTCTTTAGTGATTGACGTGCTCACCAGTCATTCTTATACATTTAACATACGTGCTCCTTGAGTTTGGTTCGTTTCTTTGCGACACGATTTGTTGATTTGAAATGAATGAAATATCGCTCTTACCGGCCAACAGAAAGCACTTATATATGTTTTTATCCAAACTGAATACGAAATAAATAGAAATTCCTTTGCAAATTTTGAAAATATTCATCGATGTGATCATGATCAGATCAATACAAAATCAGTGAAGCAAATATGGTTTCGCAAAAATTCATGGACTAGATGCTACCTGCCTCAACAGGAAGTATACTTCTAGTATGATTCAGCTTCAAAATTACAGAAAAGTATTCAGTATATGTGAATAAATCCAGACATCTGTGACTACTTTCTAATCCTCACTGTCTTACTATCATTCAGAAAACATTGTAAATATATACATGATCACACAAAGCAAAAATAAAAAATGCAGGACAGTTACACACACTTTATGCTTACATGAAACAAAAAGTTTATTAGCAGTTTACTACAGGAAAACACCGTTAGGAGAACCTAACGTGAGAACCTATATGAGAACCATTAGTTAATCAGAAAGGAATCCGCCATCTGTAGCAGTTAGTAATTCGTGAATCGACCATGCATTATTCAATGAAAAGAGTGAAATATACAAAACATGTATACACATTCCTTTTGAAAGACAAGTAACTGAAGCTTAAAAATAAGTAAAAGAAAAATACAATAAAGTAACGAATCGTAGAGAGAAAGAATGGATTTGAAAATATAAGTAAAACTTTGAAAAACCAAGCAATATTATTCGACGGTGCGGAAAGGTATACAAAATTTCTTGCATTTTGTCTTACTACTTTGCTTCAGGTTGTATATTTTGAAGCTTTGTATAGGATGCATTTCTTGACAACTGAGATGGACTAGGCGATCTGAAAGAACAGTGTCAAACAACACCTTTACTTCGAAACCCGCTTATAAATATAACTACAGCAACAAACATTTCCAGTAAAATGAAAAAGATAAATTGCTGAATACATGACCTGAACTATAACAATTAACTAATGGTTAACTAATGGCAACTAATTAATTAATGGCAATTAACTAATGGAGTTTTTGAC